GCAATGACTTCCTCAACAGGATTCCTAAAGCTAGGGAGTAGTACCAAGAATTAATAAATGGAATGGCATCAAATTAAAAAGCTTCTGCACAGTAAAGGAAATAAGAGTGTAAAAGTAGAAGCTATGGAATGGAAGAAAAATCTTTGCTAATATTCTGGCAGAGAATCAACATCCCGAATACATAAAGAACTAAAAAAAAATCACTTCCAAAACAAAAACAAAAACAAAAAAAGAACAACCCAGTCAATACATGGGTCAATGAACTAAACAGACACTTCTCAAAATAAGAAATACAAATGGCCAGAAAATATATAAAAAGATGTTCAACATCTTTAGTGATCAGGGAAATGCAAATCAAAACTATACTAAGATTTCACCTCACTCTAGTTAGAATGCCAGTCATCAAGAATACAAATAATATAAAATGCTGGGGTGAAGATGTGGGGGGGAAAGGAAGTTGGTAAGATTGTTAGTATGACCACTATTGAAATCAGTATGGAGGTTTCTCAAAAGACTAAGAATGGAACCACTATATGACTCAGCTATGCCTCTCCTTGGTATTAATCCCAAAGACTAAAAGTCAGCATGCTATATATAGTGATAATGCATACCTATGTTTATAATAGCCAAATTATGGAACCAGCCTAGGTGTCCTTCAGTAGATGAATGGATATACATACACACAATGGAGTTTTATTCCATCATAAAAAGAATAAAATTATGTACTTTTGTCAGAAAACGTATGGAACTTGAGAGTATTAGTTAAATAAGCCATACTCAGAAAGTCAATGGTCTCATATTTTCTCTCTTTTGGAAGCTAGAGATAAAAAAGGAAGAAAAGAAAAAAAAAGAGTGTAGGAAATCTCATGAAAATAGAAGGAAGATTAGAAGAGTACAGGAGGGACCAGGGGAAGGGAAAGGGAGGTACAGGAGGATGAAATTGACCAAACTGTTATGTGCTTATATGAATATTTGACAACAAATCCCACTATTATGTATAATTATAATGCATCTAAAAATGGTATCAAGAAAACTGCATATCCATATGCAGAAGAATGAATTTAGGTCCTTATCTCACATTATATACAAAAATCAATTCAAAATGAATTAAGATCTGAAATGATAAAAACTACTTGAAGAAAACAGGGGAAAAGCTCCAGGACACTGGTCTGGGAAAAATGATATGTGACCCCCAAATCACAGGCAACAACAACAACAACCAGACAAATGGAATTACATCAAACTGAAAAACTTCTGCAGAGAGAAATAATTAATAGAGCAAGGAGACAACTTAGAAAGTGTGGGAAAATGTGTATAAACCATAATTTTGATAAAGGGTCAGTAACAAAAATACATAAGGAACTCAACAGTAAGAAAACCACTTGATTTTTTAAAAAAATGAGTTAAATACTCAACATTACTAATCCTCAGGAAATGCAAATTAAAATCACAGTAAGATATTACCTTTCCCCTGTTACCAGGGTTATTATAAAAAAGATGAAAGAATTTAAGTGTTGGCTAGGATGTAAAGAAAAGGAACTTATATATTGATGGTAGGAATGTAAATATAGGAAATCAGGCTGGTGGATCATCAAAAAACTAAAATTATAATTGTCATTTGATCCATCAATCCCACTTCTGGGTATGTATTTGGAGGAAATGACATTAATATGGCAAAGAGCTATCTGCACTCCAATATTCAATGCAGCATTATTCATAACAGCCAAGATATGGAATCAATCCAAGCATCTACCAGTGGATGAATGGACTAAGATGATGAGGTATATCCAAAAAATGGAATCTTGCTTGGCTTTGAAAAAGAAGGAAAATGTCATTTGCAACAATATGAATGAACCTGGAAGACATCATACTATATAAAATAAGCTAGGCATAGAAAGATAAATATTGTATTATTTTACTTATATATGGAATCTTAAAAATATTCTGGTTATAAGCATTATAAATATTTAAGCTGTAACTGTTTACTCTCTTAAAATTCTTTTTTTTTTTTTTAAATTTTTAATATTTATTTTTTAGTTCTCGGCAGACACAACGTCTTTGTTGGTATGTGGTGCTGAAGATCGAACCCGGGCCGCACGCATGCCAGGCGAGTGCGCTACCGCTTGAGCCACATCCCCAGCCCCATCTTAAAATTCTTTATTCCCTTGAAGGAAATGGTTTGTAACAGATTCCTGCTCATGAACTGTTCATGACTTACTTTGTATTAAAACTATAAGGAAAAAGTTTATTTCCCATACTACAGTATATGCCTTCCTTAAGGAGATGGATGGTGTCTTGCTTATGTTGACCTTCATATAAAATTATCACGGTATATTACTATACATATTTCTATCAGTAAATATTTACTGAGCTAAACTAAACTACTTGACTTTAGGACTCAGGAAATGATCCTCCATTAAATCTGATGCCAGTGGAAACCATGCCCATATAACCATGGCCAAGAAACAACTTTAAAGGCATAGGGGGGAAAGAAAAGAATTTGGACTTTGTAGTCTGTCCACCTTATATCTAAATACCAGGTTCACCACTGACCAATTATATTAACTTTCGTGAACTGCCTAACCTCTTCAAGTGGGAAATGATGATAAATCCACTGTACAACATAGTTGGTAATGATAAAGGCATAGATGGTGATGATTTAAAGTCCTCTTACATTTGTTCAGTGCTTCGCTATGTGCATAATATGAATGATCACATTTAATCCTGTAATCCTAATTACAGCAGGTACTATTGTTACACTAATTTATAAAGGAGAAAAATGACTGTTAGAAACTTGTCCAAAGTCACATGTGTAGCTAATGGGTAGGCCTGAATTTGAAACACAGTCTGTAGTCTAACAAATACAGAACTTGACCCATAATAAAGATTCAATGAATGGAAGCTATTATAATTGTTTTCAACTAGTAGATTACTCTGTTAGCACTAAGAGACGGAATCATCTGAGACCTGGTTTCAATTTGAGAAAAGATGTGAAGAAATAAAAATATCTTCAAAATAGAGTAGTCAAGTAGAAAAATCTTCTGAATGGGAAATAGAATATAAAATATGTAATATATAAATATGTATTACATATAAATATATAATAGACAAAATGTCACATTTATATATATATATTAAATATATATATAAATATATACAATATGTAATATATTACATATAGATACAAATGTAAAAATAGATACACACATATATAATTTTCTGACAGTCTGGCTAATGCCTTGGGATGCAGAATGGCACATAGTGGAATTTTTATGAAGGAAATTTTAAGGACATAATTAAGAAGTGATTCCAAACAGTCAAGTCTGGAAGAATTATTTTATTTCCATGTGTTTTAATTCTGAAATCTATGTTCAATTGTATATTTATAAATATGGTAATTAAGAATTTTACTTGCTTCTCTAAAATTATGGCATTTGCAGGTAAATGGAAGGAATTAGAGAATATCATGCTAAACAAAGTAAGCCAATCTCAAAAAACCAAAGGTTGAATGTTTTCTCTGATAAGTGGATGCTAATTCATAATGGGGGGACATGGAGGAACTTTGGATTGGCCAAAGGGGAAAACGGGGAGGGGAAGGGGCTGGGGGATAGGAAAGATGGTGGAATGAGATAGATATCATTACCCTACGTACATGCATGATTTCGCAAATGGTGTGACCATACTTTGTGTACAACCAAAGAAGTGAAAAATTATGCTCTATTTGTGCACAGTGAATCAAAGAGCATTCTGCTGTCATGTATAACTGATTAGAAGAAGGAAAGGAGGAAAGGAGGAAAGAAGAAAGGAAGGAAGGAAGGAAGGAAGGAAGGAAGGAAGGAA